ATTTCATCAGATACTTATAATGTATTCATTTAATCATTTCCCTAAAGATGTATATTTGAGTTGTCTAAGTTTTTTGTTACTATGAATGTTGCATATGAATAATGTCCTAGCACATAAAACCTTATTTAAATATTTCTATATGATATATTCTTATAAATGGAATTGCTGTGTCAGAATATTTCTTTTACTGTTTTGATCAAATTGCCCCCTTAAAGTGTAACAACATTCATGTAGCCATTATATTAGTTAGTGTAAGTTAAGCTGCAATAATAAAGAGAGCTAAACATTTTCCATAGCTTAAAGACAAAAAGTTTACTTCTCTTTTCTGTAACAGTTCAAAGCATATTTCCCTTTCAGTAATGGGGGGCGGGGGGCGATGGAGGGATGGGAAGAGCTTGCCTATATAGCTCTTATCCACATAGTTCTTCAGGGATACAGGATTCTAATATTGTATGGTGGTACCTCTGCCATCTTTATGATGTTCTGAGATGACTCTGGTTATTACCATCAGCATTGTAAACAACAGAGAAGGAGGAAAGAGCATGAAGGCATGAGCCTGGAAATTTTTACTGGCCAGGCCTGGAGGCAGCATTCATTGCTTCCACCCAAATTTCATCAAAGAGAACTGCAAAGGATGTATGGAAAGGCACTGAAGTTGGGCAATTATATGTTAGCCAGCTTTCTCTGCCCTGGGGATTTAAAGATATTTAAAACTGTTATGTCATAGATATTAAGCAATCAAAACAGATGCAGTACATACCAGCTAAATATTAACCCAGCTATACTGCCATGAAAAATTTGAAGTAAAAATCCTAATAATATTTTTCATGGACTCAAAATTAGATTTTTGTTTTGCAACTCAAGCTGTTTTTAGCCTATCCAAAAGAGCAAATTTTGAAAAGAAAGAATAATGAGGATGTTCTTGCCTTACTAGATATTAAATACTATGTAGGTACAGTAATTAAGACAATGAAGTAATAGAAATAGATCAATGAGACTCATTATCATGAAGATGCAAATTCTGCCAAACTTGCAAATGTGTTAATCATCATTTTTCTGGAGACCATTCTGTCCAAACCCACCATCATACTGTTTCAATATGGAGTGGTTGCTCTCCAGGCTTCTTGCACTGCCTGGGGAATTGCTTTGTGTCTTTCCTGTTTTCTTCTATGCTACCTTTTTTCTTGGTTTAGTCACACATTTTTCTGGAACCCAACATTTAGTGGCTTCCTGAGAAAGGACATCTGAAAGGTAAATATTTCAAGGCCTTGAATGACTAAGGATATTTGTATTCCTTCCTCAAGGTCTATTGACAGTTTAGCTGGGTGTTAATTGAACCTTTTTTTTACCTCAAAACTGTCTTCTGGCATCCAATGTTCCTGTTGAGAAATCTAGCATCATTCTCCTACCTATTCCTTTGTGTGTTGCCTATTTTTTCTTAAAGCTTTTAGACTCACTTTTTCCCTGGTGTCCTGGGATTATATGAAGATATGTCATGGTTTTTTATTTGTTTGTTTGTTTGTTTGTCTCACTTATTCCACTGAGCACTCAATGGTGCCTTACCCCTTGAAGATTCAAATCATCTAGTTGTGGGGATTTTTTCTTCTATTATTTCTTTGATAATCTCCTCCATTCCTTTTTGTTTTTGTTTTTGTTTTCTCTCTCTCTTTTTAAATTTTCTCTATCCTGTTCATCAGATAACAGACTTCTGGATTGCTTCTCTAATTTTCTTATTTTTCTCTCTGCTCCTTTTCCATCAGTACTTTGGAAAACAGGCTTTACTCCTATCATTATGTAAAATATAATATTCACTTCCTATAGGTTCAGTCTTCCTTAATTAGCATTCCATAGCCTGGTTATTTTCTCAAATTTTTTTAAAAAAATAAGAGGGAACTGAATTACAAAGGCTGGTGTAGGCCCACTCACAACAGCAGCGCTGCTTCCCCAACACTATGGGCACTTGGTCGCCTGAAAACTTTGCTTCTAGTGTTTGTGCCAATTTCATCTAAATAACTCCCCTTCTATTGGTAGCAAATAGGTATGTTTTCTGTTCACCGTTACCTTACTCTTACTCATACTCCTTGTTTATTGAGAATTCCTATTGCCTTATAGTATCTGTGCATTACTTTCTGATCTCTGTTTTCTTTTAGCTTTTCCTATTATAATAATAGCTTCCTTGCATTTTTCACAGTGTTTTCTGAGATAAGCTAATTATCTACATAATCACTATCATTCCTGTTCGGGCAGATCTGTTTCTCCAGTCCATCCCATATCTCTGCCCTACATCTCCGCTGCACTTGAGTCAGGGAACCACTTCTGACAAAATCAGCTGTGGCCTGGGGTTGGGGTTGGGGCAGGAGATTACATCCAACAAGCCCTGTCTGGGGAACCACCCAGGGCTATTCTTCTGCCGGAAGTGGCTATGGCAAGTGTTTTGAAGTATGGCTAGCCCTTTGCAGTGATTTTAGGTACGATACGTGGGCTTTAGGAACCTCAAGAGCCCCTTTGAAAAGTGGAAATAATTAGATCTTCCATCTTTTTCATCAGATCATGAGAATCAAATAAAATAATGTAAATTATAAAACATTGCATCATGTAAAATTAGCAGAATCCTTGATATATAATAGTTTTTCCATCAACGGTGGTATTAACAGGCTGCTGTAAAGTGCCCTGTACCAAAATGGCTTTTTCAGACCCACTGCTTGAGAACTACAGCACTAAGCACCACATGGTCTTAGTCCAGGGCACCACTAGGCACTGGGGTGCTAACAGAAGTGCTAGCAAGTCTACCATGAAAATCTGGGAGCAAGAAGTGAGGGACCTTCTGGGAGCTGCAGAGTTCTTGAGGAGAGGCCATTTCCTTCTCTCGCCAACCTGGGAAGAAAAGCAAAGGTAGTCCCTCTTCTTGAAGTATAGGGAGGGAAGCCCCATGAGTGAGTGTGTGTGTGTGACCACATCTACTCCTGCTGCACGGAGTCAAGGGCATGTGAGATTCTCTTGTGTGAAGCTGCCAGTGCTGGAACTAGCAGAAATCCTGCTGACACCCCGTATGGAGGGAGGGGTGGGAACAGGATGATAGAACCAAGAAAGAACAGATGGTCTTTTTAAAAAGAAGTTTCCCCTACAGCTAAAATTTTTAATTACAAAGACTAAATTTTTTCCTCTTTAAAAATCCATTTTTATGGTAAAATATAGCACACAGAAAAAACAGAAATGTGCAACTTAATGATTTATCAAGGCACTATCTGTGTAACTATCACTGAAGTCAATAGATAAAACATTGCCAGCATCCAGCAGTCTCTACCATGTATTTCTTCAAAATCAGAAAACCCTCCCTCTTGCCAAAGGTAACCATAACATGACTTTTATGATAACCAAACTCTTGTTTGCTTGCTTTTTTATTTTTTAATTTTACTTTTTTTCATCTAAACATGTGTCACAAAGCAGTATATTTTAGTATTGATTTGGGGGGACTTTATGTAACTGGAAACATACAGTATGAATATACATCAGTTTGTCTATGCACGCTGCTGTCAATGGGCATTTGGCTTGGTCCCAATTCAGAGCTAATATTAACATGCTGCCTGAACATGCTTGTACATGATTCCTGGGGTGGGGGGAGGGGTAGTACATTTCTTGAGAGCATAGACGTAGGAGTGGAATTGTTGCGTGAGAGAGTATGTGAGTCTTCAACTTGACCACAGAATGTTTTCCGAATGGATTCCCGATGCACATTCCCATCAGTGGTTTAGGAGAGTACTCCTTGCTCCACATCTAAAATGATCATTCTTCATTCTGAGATAATGTACTTCAATATGAAAAAGGCCCTTTTTAAAAAATGAAAAAATAATGATGGTAGAATTAGCAGGTTACTTTTTTCAAGTGACTTTACATGGAAAAATAAAGATGTAGTGGTTTCATTTAGGTCCTACTTTCTCCGCCTGCAATTCTCCTGGACCGTATCTCAAATGCTAGAAACCAATGTCCCATACAACATGATATAGATTGCTCCTACTTCTTTAACATCAAAGGCCACTTGATATATATAATAGCCAGCCTTCCAGATGGCCCCAGGAGCCTCCTCCCTTGGTATTCCTGCCTTGGTGTAGACTTCCCACACTGAATGAGGGTGGGTTTTGTGGCCAGTGGAAGTGTCTGTGTCTGGATTCACAAGCTAGGTCAAAAAAGACATTGCTGCTTCAGTGCCATCTTTTGGGTCAATGACTTTGGGAGAAGTCAACTACTTTGTTGTGAAGATGTTCAAGCAGCCCAGTCAATTGTGGAACAATTTACCAACACCAGCTTCCTAACCAAGTGAGTGGGCCACCTTGGACAAGGAACCTTCAGCCTCAGCCAAGCCTCGGGGTGATTTCCATCCTCCAGGCTTTGAGTCTTCCAGCTAGTCCCTGGAAACCACAGAGCAGACACAGGCCATTCGCCCTGTGCCCTATCTGAACCCCTGATTGACAGAAACCATGAGCTGATACATGATTATTGTTGTTTTAAGCCACCAAGTTTGGGGTTGATCTGTTACACAGTAAGAGATAACTAACCTAATACACATGACCAGCTAGGAAGGGTCATTGCCAAAAAATTGAACCTGAATCTGATAATGCCTCTATGTTTAACTACAGGTTTAAAAGTAGAGATGATAGAGGAACGTGTGTTAAACTAGGGCAACCCAGGAATGCAGCTAGCAAAATCCAGAATATAGGAAATTCTGCAGCCCAGATGACCCATATTTTCAGCTAGTTAATTGGGAATGGGAGAGGAACACATAGATTGAAAGGGACTTACAAGGTATGATCGTTTGTATTGTTTCCAGTTAGTGCTGTTGTCTTCTGGGGGAGAATTACATGTCCCCTCTCACCACTGACATCAGCTTTGGCCATGTGACTTTCTTTGACCAAAGAAGTGTGAGCAGATCTGACAGTTGCTGCTTGTGAGGAGAAGTTGTAAAAGTCACTATGCTTCAACCATTTCTCATTTCCATCTGCCAGGAAGTGGGCGTATCCCAAGTAGGGATTGTTTCTTCAGATCTTGCCCAGGAGTGAAGAGACTGCAGAGCTGACACATAATGGAAATTCACGTGAGTAGGAAATAAACCCAACTTGGTGTAAGCCACTGTGATTTTGGGTTTCTTCCTAAACCACTATGCTCCCATAGCATAGCCTAGTGTAATCTGATTAATGCAAGGAATGTTTCGAAAATAACAGATAAACCTTATTAGGATCCCAATTTATGAAACCACTGCAGAAATTTGAACATGGACTGGATATTTAACAGTAATTAAGCATTGCTGTTTATTTTTTATTAGGTGTGCTGATGGTATTGCAGTTATGTTAAAACAACAAAAAGAGTTCTTACATTTAAATGAAAATTAACAGAAGGAGTTCTTATAGTTAGACATGTGGTCTAAGGGGAAAGGCGATATTGGGGGTATCGATTGGTCATGAGTAATTACTGAACTGGGTGGTGGGTATGTGCGAGTTTATCATACCATTCTTTCTGCTTTTGTTATGTTTGGAAATTTCCATAATGAAAAGTTAAAAAAATAGTCTTGTTAACTTGAGTCCCAGAGTTGTCCTATGACACTCCCAAAGAGGTACAGAAAATACGGAGCTGAACAAGACGAGTGAGTGAGCACGCAGAGGAGGTGTTCAGATCAGGCCTCAGGCAGAAGACATTAAAAGTCTCATTTCCAGTGAGAAAAATGTTTCTTCAGGAGCACTGTATCAGGCCAGAGCACATCAGGGTAAAATTCAGAGCACTGGAGAGGTGTGGGGCACTCTAGAGGTGTCAGCTCCCACCTCAAGTGTGAAAGGGAAGGTGTGTGGCTTAAGTAAAACCATTGTTTCTTCTCTGCCTATTAGCTAAAATCAAATGTAGTATCTGTCTTGCCAATTAAAACATCTGATGTGTTCTCTGTGTATTGGGCATTAAGGTAATGATTGGGATTAGGAGATGATTCAGGAGCTTGCTCTGTCTATTCCATGCCACAGCTTAGAATTGCATTACTTCCAGGATTGGTGTATTTCTTTTGAGTTAATGACAGATTGTTTTTGATGGTTCCCCTTGTCTCCTACAAAGAGCTCTAAATCACTATTAATGAAGCTCCAGACTGTATTTCCACCATTAGCACTGTAAGGATTGAATTTCCTGTAAGTGGAGTAGACAGAGTAGCTGAGTTTGAGCCACGTCCCAGTACTACATCCGAAAGAATACTGGCAAGAGGACCCCTTGGGCAGGAGAGGGCTGGGCTGGGGGAAAGAAGAAGAGGTTGAGCCTGAGCCAAACCCCACGCCCAGAGACTGTGGGCCAGGGCACGTGGCCCAGGGAGAGCCAACATGGGCAGCTATAGAGGGGGAAGAAAATCTGCTGGGGTCAGAGAGGTAGCAGCAGCCTCGCTGTCAGCACCTACTGCTCCCCATCAGAGTTGTCCGGTCCGGAGATCCCGCCTCTCATTCCACCTCCACCCCCGGGGCAGTCCTCTCTGGGAAAGAGGGAGAAGGTGGGTGTGTGAGAGCAGACACATCTCTCACCCCCACTCCCACTAGATAACGTTGACATTTTGTGTTGTTCTGTTTTTGAGATTGGAGAGGTAAAAGCAAAGACATGGGAGCATTAGACATGGGACTGGGAAGTTATGGAATTGGGCAGAGACATCATTTAGATATAATGGGAACCCACTGCCCGGAGATTCCACCAGAGCAGGCTGGGAGTAGTTAAAGTGTGTCCTGCCTTCACCCAGTGAGTGGCTGTGCTTCAGTAATTACAGGGTTCCCTCATCGCCCCTAGCAACACAATACAAAACAACAACAGAAAACTTCCGTTCACATTTTTAGTGGTAGACCATGACTTCGAACTAGACAAAGCCTGCCTTTGGTGATATTGCCCTTCTTAATCTCCCTTCCATGCCTTCTCTCCCTTACCCTGCAGAAAACCTGTGTCCTGCTACCCTCTGTGCAAATTAACTCAAGCCAAATGTATGCACCATCAAGGACACTAAAAAGAAATATTTATATTTTCTTTTAATATTTTGCCTACTGTGACCTACTTTTAGTTCAATTTCAAAAGCAAGGAGGTGAGTGTGTTCTTAATAAACATGTCACTGAACTCTGTTCTACTGTTTTGGCTACATGGTTCCTGTTGAGTAAACTTAAGTTGTTTCCTATCGACAGTAAAAATTAAAAAGATCCTCTGTGTCAATACATTGATATTTAAGCTCCAAAATTCCACCTGCTTCATCAACTGTCTATTTCTTTGAAGACTGTTTCCCACTGACAATCCTGGTGTTAAAGGGCTCTTGTTAGTGTCACCTCTGATGTGCCTGAGTCACTTGGAAAATCACTTCCAACCCACCCACGCATCTGAAAACACATTTTTCAGTGATTATAAAATCAAGAGCTGTGAAGGTTCCTTGCAAAGAGAGCATTTAATCAGCTGATGTTATTTTAATTATTCACTTTTAATGAGCAATCTATGAATGTTTTCAAAAATCAGAGTCAATAGGTAGGCTGTCATCTAAAAAACTAAATCAAGTTATAGTCTGAGGGTTTCACTGGCATTAGGTGATTATTACCATAATTTAAATACTTCAGCTTAAGTAGCAAGGTAAATGTGAGTGCTTTAAAAGTTGGTTTTAGCATGCGGTTTAGGAGTTGTTAATGAACCCTTTGAAGTGCTCTAATAAGGAATACATACTCCAGGGGGTGGCTGAGCATGAAGGGACCTGATCAGAACTTGGACTTAGAATCTGGCTGACACAGATCCTTCTTCGTTTCTGATTCTACACTAGAGGATTCATCTTTAGTATAGGAGATGTTAGACATAGCTTTTTATTGGTGAAATGCATGGATTTCAAGGTATGTGTACAGCACGAGAACCTCATTCTTAAAGGAAGAGGACGTACGTTTTGGGTGGGCCCAGAACCGTGCTCCAGGCCTGGGAATTTGTGTAGTCCTGTGCGCACCACTTAATGCAGGACTCTGTCACCTGAGTGGATGAGAAGCGTAGCAGGCTTCTGCTCTAGGACGTTGTGGTGTCTGGTTCAAATGAACACTTCCCACAAGGTTCTGGTCAGGAGCCGTGAGCTCATGGAGCTTACAAAGACACTTGTGTTTGTTTTCTCATCAGTCTTGGCATGTGGCATTCGGTCAGAGACTGCCTTTCATGGGCCTCACCACAGTAGCCCTGTGGAGGGCAAGGAGGGCTGTAGGCACACAAACTGGTAGCGGCCCCATCAAGATGCTGACAGTCAGGTACCACCACCCTGGCTTAAGCCAGCTAACAAGATTTGGTCCACAAATAGTTACCATCAGATGTACTGAATGGAAAAAAAAATGATGGCTAAGTAGATTAAAAAATGCACAATGATGAAGATTTGAGGAAGATTCATAGAAAGAAATGTGGTTTTGTCTAGATAACAGTATCAGAAAAATTATATAGGACTTACTATATATCAGATACTATTCTAAACTCTCTTTTTATATATATGTATATGTGTATATATTCTATATCTTTATATATAACATGTATATGTGTGTGTGTGTGTATATATATAATCATTTAATCCTTGTCACAATTCGATGAAGAGATACTGTCATACATTATCAACTCCATTTTCCTGAGGAACCTGGGGCACAATGTGTGCTTTGTTCTAGATCACACAGATCACTTAAGTGGGGAAGGAGTGATTTAAACCCAGGCAGTCTGACTCCAGAATCCAGGCTCCTACTGTTAGAGACACCAGAGTTTTCTTTCTTAAAAACAGACGTTGGCATGTGACCAGGAGCCATGGGAGTTTATAGAGTTAAAGAAAACTGGACTTGCTGTAAGAGCCTCGGGGAAAACTAAGGAATGCTGAGGTTTTCCTTGGCTTGAGAAAAGCCACATACCAACAAGGAATTTTTGTCAGGCATCATTTGGGCAGCTGGGCTTCTGTGATGAATTAAAAATAAAGACCTGTCACTTGGTTGATGATGTGTGTAACAGTTTTCCTAGACACAAAAAAGCTGCTGAGTATTAGAAGACTTTGAAGAGAAAGGCAGGCAGCAGACAAGCTACTTCTCTCTTTTCTACATTTGACATCCTTCCCTTTATATATTTCTATATCATCCTATACTAGAACAATGCTCACACGTGTGAGGTGTCTGATCTAAGTCGCAGCAAAGCATTCTTTCAAGAGGCCATATTTTTCTGTTCCTTTCAGTTCCTCAGTCAGGGCAAGAGTTGGGATAATCTGATTACTAGCACAGTTATTTGGTGAACTCATTACCTCCAGCTATAAACCTCATCTTGCATCTTGCTTTTGCAAGTTCTTTTCTAAGCATTGTTCTAAGAAGTGGAAGAAACCACCATCCCACAGCCAGCATTCTTTGGATGCCCTGTACTCATTTACTCATTTGAATTCTTGCCGCATAATTTTACCTACATATTGTATACGTGCATATTTGGAGGTCCACTCCTGGCCTTTTTCCATTTCCCTGTCACCGAGGCAACATGGTGTGCATCTCTTAGATTCCTCTTTCCTCGGCCTATCTCTGTAAATGCAGGATCCTGGTAAACCACTCACTCAACCACATCACACAGAACTGCAGGAAACTGCAGCAGACCAATATAATAGTTTGTTGGGGGGTGGGGGGTTGCCAGACACCCAAACTTTTCAAGGTTCTAGTGTATTTAGGGTTTTTGTAACTGTTACTTGGTAAGTTGCCAATTTAATTTAATAATTTAATAAATGTTTAATAAAATTTAATAATTTTATTGAATTTAATAATTTAAATTTAATAATTAATTAATGTGCTCATCATTCTTGAATTGAGTACTAGGAATTGAACCCAAAGCTGCAATTCAAGAAGAATAAAATATTGATCCTGTTGATTTATTGAAGTTGTTTTGGTTGCAGGTAGTAGGACCCAACTTAAATTAGCTTAAACCAAAAAGGAAATTTATTGACTCATGTAACTGGAAAGTTCAAGTATAGATTTCAGGCACGGTGGGATCAAGGGAGTTCAAATTATTTCATCAGAATTCCCTTTTCTCTTTTCATCTCTACTTATCTTTGTCTCTCTGTATTCTGGCCTCATT